CCCCCCCCCCAACACCCTTTTCTATTGTGCTAGCAGGAGACCTGACACAGAGCCAGAGAGGGAAGCACAGGGGCGAATTGGTCCAGCCAAAAAATAGCCCCACAGGGAAGAAAAAAAAAGACCGTTGTTTGATTCAGTTCATTGTGAAGCCACATAAACATGTACTTTTGGACCACAGAGAGGGTGGCACACATGGGATATGAGAGCTGAAACTAGGTGGGGAGGAGGAAAGGGGCTGCCAGGGGTCAAGGTGGCACTGCTTTCAGAAGCAAACTCATGTCCCCATCAACAGGTAAGATACTCTCAATGGTTTAGCACTAGCGTGTTCAAATACAATAGTGTAGCCAAAGTATTCACTTTTATAACAACACATTTTTAATAAATTCTCCAGGGCAGTACATTTTCTGGTTTCAGCTTTGAATAAAATATATGCTGAATTGTATTTTTTCCATTAACTTAAAATATTAAACAGACAATTCCCCTAATAAAAACATAAATTCTTAGAATTCTGTGATATTCTAATCTATTCAAATCAAGATTCCTCCAGACCTGTTGGCTACAAATACCATTATACACAAATGTAAATACTCTTTGAATTAACAAGTTGCCAGTAAGCATTTACAAGTGTATATATATATATATATATATAAACATTTGAAACATCTCCTCTGAAACTAAAAAAGCAGCTCAACAGTTTTTGTGATATTTTAAAGCTCATTACAGGTCTTCATGAATTCCCTCTTTTTAACTTTTAGTAAATCCTGAAAGCTAAGAGCTAGGCTGGCTACTTATAAATTATTTTCAGGGTTGCAGCCCACACCACTGCCAAAATGAGGAAAACAACAAAACAGAGAGAGGTCCTTCAAAAATAAGAATAGCAAATAACCTAAAAATATAAGTCAAAGCATCTAGCAAGTCTTTTTCTTTCTGGCTATGCCTTGTGCAGTGTGATACGCTTAGACCTCAAAGACCCTTAAGTGCTTTTACACTCTAACAGTCCATGTAGTGCAGTAAGGAGATGCAAAGGAACTATGTTATGATGACTGAGAAGTACAAATTTCTTAGAGGAAACAGAACTTTGAAGTTATTTTGCTTCCCTTTCACTATCTTTCAAGTAACAGCAAGACTTCTAGGATACTGTAACTGCAATTGGGTTTTTTTCAGGTCTTTCTTTTCATCTCCACAGTAATTTTATCATGGTAGGAGCGCTGCAATGCCATCATTTCACTCCCCTGCACGTTGTCCCATCCTGGAGAGAACACCTCAGGAGTGACCAGCCCCAGGCTGCCTCAGCACCCACCCGTTCTCCCCCTTCACAGCAGCCAAATTCCTCCTGTCATTCCAGTCCTTTTCTTCAGTAGTCCCATGCTGCTCCCCTGTATGCTTTTACACATCACCATCAACACTCTCCCCATCCCCTTGCAAGCTAGGCTGTGTGTTGTTTATGACTTAGTACCTTTGATTTGTTCTCCTATACTCCCCTTAACCACTTTCCAGGCTACGTCAGTCATTCTGGTTTTCTCTGCCTACATACAAGTAGATCTGCTCTGAAGCTGCCCTGCAGTGCAATTCATGCTCTTTCTGAGCCTTAGTCTGGACATTCCTACATGTGGGCTCCAAGGCACTCTAATTTTGTTTCACAAGAACAGGAAAAAACATTAATTCAAGTTTAGTTGAAAAGGTTTAACAAAGTTTCCTATGAAAGGCTACTACAACACAGCTTATAATTGAAAAACAAAGGAATTCCTGGGTATTTATAAAGTCAGATAGTGCATATAAATGCCATCATTCCCAGTTCCTCCATTTAACTTCTGTAGTTGGCAGATCTGCTTATACTAGGAAGTAACTTTTTTTGTGACATGTTTTTGGGTCAAGTTCAGACCAATACATTGTTAACAAGGGCTCCTGACCCTGAGCAGAAGTCTCCATAAATCACTCTTAGCCCTTCACTGTATTCAGGAATGATCTCTCAGTTCGCAGAGGTCACCTCCTTCTTTTCAACCACATCTTTAATCTAGGCTTTGCTGTGCCACTGCAGTCCTTCCAGCATAGGGGCTGGCTGTACTTGGTACACAATCCGTGCTCCGAGTCTGTGCCGTAGTGAGCTAATCACCCAAGCCGACAGCTCTCTCAGCCAAGCTGAGTCATTCTCACTCTGGTCTCACAGGCATCTACAGGACATTTTATCCACTCCTCCAGCCGCCCCCTCCATGCCACCTTTGGGATTTGCTTCCCACTGCACAGCTCGAATCCTGCCCCCCAGCCTTCGCCACTCCCTCCCACTCAGGATCTCCTCTCCCACTCAAGCCTTCCTGCTCCCCCAGCACCACAAGACTCTTCTGCCAAATCCCCCAGTGCCCTCCAGTTCTCCCTCGCTCCCCTTGGCTGCTTTTCAGTCCAGCCATAGACAATACCGTAAGGGATAACCTGCGTGTCAGAGAATTCCTGCGTGCAAGTGTATTAACTCCCACAACTCCTCCACTATAGCACCTAACTACTTCATGTCTAAGATGACCATTATAGTTAAATGTTTTGCCTTCTGAAAAGTCTTATAACCACCTTAGTACCGATTCCAGTGCTAAAAAGTGTTAAAATACCCATCCTGCTTAATTTTACAAATTTTCACACACTGAGCTTCCGTCGGGGTTTGGATGGGGAATGTAGAATAAATCCTAAAAAGGGGGAAGCTCTGAATTAACTGAAATGCTGGAATGCATTCATGGCTATGGTCTTTTTGGCCCAAGTGTTATTCAGGTCTTGGTTGCCTTCAGTATCATACAAGAAAATAGAGGACTGAGCAGTTAGGACAAAACGCTAAAGGCCCAAACTGCACCCGAAGCAGTCAGTACCCAGGGAGCCAGCTGCCAGCTCAGGACCGAGGGCTGGTGCTGGGGTAAGCCTTCTCCATCACTGCAGAAACACACACCAACCCAGAGACATTCTAATGCACGTTTAAATCTGAGTAAATGCAAGGCAACTCTTACTAATTTAAATTGTTATACTGGAGACTGTGAACTGTATTAATTTCTGTAAACAGTCTAATGTTAAAGCTCAGTACCCCAAGTAATCCCCAAGAAACTATCAAAACTCAGCTCTGACAGTGACAAGCGCATGAAAGCCCTGGACTAGACCCTCAGCTCCTGGCTCCTATTCTCAACCTCACCACCAGCATGCAAGGTGACAGAATAGAATATTTCAGTTGGAAGGGACCTACAATGATCATCTAGTCCAACTGCCTTAACTGCTGATCTAAATCGCTTTCCTCCCTCCATGGCTCAGTGGGAAATAGCATTACTACTCTCTTTGATGCAGTGAGGTCTTCTGGGAGAAAGTGCTGCTAGGTTTTATTATTTAATGGTTTTCTCCACCAGTACATATTAGGATACTTTTCTCCCCCCATTAAAAATCATGCACTTAAATGTTTAGGCAGCTGCTGCAGAAGAGAAAGCCACTCGTTCTCTCAAAGGCCAAGCTGCCTCACCGAATTGATGTCAGCTGCTTCTTAGTAGGATTTAAAAATTCAATTAAATTAAGAGACAAACTATGCAGATTAGGGCTATACTAGAATCAGAAAGGAATCTTAAAAGGCATAAAATATCTTTACATTTATTAAGCAAACTCTGCAGTCTTTTCTTGTTATATTCTTGTTGAAAAACAGAACATTCAGAAAGTATCATGAAAGCAAAAAACAACAAACTAAGGTTCACGTGAGCCACACTCCCCCTTCCCCTCCCCGCCCAAGCAATGGCACTATCTTCACACCCATCCCACTTTTAACTTTCCAACACAAGCAGCAAGGCACCATTTACAGCTAGGCTGAAAAATGAGGTCTTCGATGCACATCGCCATTCTGCAGTCCTAGCAACCCACCACAGCCACTCTTCCCTTGTACAGTAGGATAAAAGCAGGTTATATATACCCACGTAGGTACAGACAGTAAAAGAAAGGCCAACGTCAGTTGTGCAGTTCTGCTAGGACTTCAAGTCTGGAAAATGACCACTCTGCTGGGAACTCCTTGGTTATCCCGACAGTCATTAACTCCCTTGCCCTTTGCGCACATCAGTCCAAGTCTGCAAGGTTTAACTGAGCCTACGTGCTCTCACCCCTGGGATGCATGCTCCAACAAAGCCAAGAAGCAGAGGACCAGGACAGCCAGCTCTGCCCTTACAGCAGAGTCAGACAGCAAAGGATCATATCTTGGCATTGTTCTTTTTTTCATTTTGAAAATTAATTTGGGGATTATGAACAATTATGCTTTTGCACATTAATTGCTGTGATCTAAAATTTTCACATGAAGAAACAACACATGGAAATATTAAAGCACTCATCTTACGGACATGGATCCGAGAACTGTTTAATAGCAGTCAGTGAAGGGGTAACATTGTGCTTTTAATCTACAGTTTAAAAATAATGATTTGTATATCTACTTAGTAAAACAATAAAATTAAGAACAGAAACTGATATTAGGAAACAGTGAAAATGTAATAATTAAACACATGATGCTTTTCAAAGCTATATACTTAATGAGCCTAAATAGACACCTATGGTTAGGAGGGTCTTAAAAAAAAATGAATAAAAAAAGAGACTTTTTTTTTTTTTTTTCAATTTTTGTCTACTATTCTGTATGCCTTGCTTTGGTGTTCTCTCTGCTGCCAACTTAATGCTTTAACAGTATGTTTACACTTATGTTCTTTTCAAATGCTTGGCATTATAATGAGATCTCATATCTTTCCTCAAATTAAATTTTGCTCCGCATACTCCACATGTATACAGATGAACATCCATGTGCTGCTCCAGTTGCTCATTATTTGGGAATATCTGAAAGCAGACCTGGCATATAGTCTCTCCAGCTGATAAGTGAGATATCATATGCCGTACATGGTCATGTTTTCGGAAGTTTCCTTGATCACAAATGGAACAGACATACCTGGCCATGCCTTTGTGCATATCATTGTGGAGCCTCAACTGGCGCTCTCTTAAGAACTGCTTCCCACATGTCTGACAAACAAACTGTTTTTCCTTGGTATGAACGGTATAGTGTTCCCGCAAGTGGCAACGCTGATAAAATCCTTTCCCACAAAGATTGCAGAAATGCTTACGTCTGTGATCCCTCTCGTTCTCTTCCATCATGGAGTTCTTGAACAGATCTTGCTCCAGGCAGTTTGACATATGTTCAACCACCAGGTTTTCAGTTTCAAAACGCTGACCGCAATTAGGGCATCGGAAAGGACAGGCAGAATGCTTGTATAACTGTTTTTTTTGAAGGCTGTTCATTTGGAAGTGACTGTCCCTGAAGTCCTCTAGCATCTCTGCAAACATCATGTCCCTTATTTCCGACTGCTCCTCAGGGTTTTCTTCCAAGTCCATTTTCTCCTCAGAATTTCTGATACCGTTCATGGTCAGATCCTGGGGTTCTCCACAGGTCTGAGCATGATCCTGTAACTGCTTGCCTTTGACCAGTATTTGACCACACTTGCCACAAGCACATATATTTTCTATGTGTTTGGATAAATAATGAGAGGACAAATCTTCCTCAGTGATCGTTAGCCCACAAAGTTCACAGGGAGCATTCTCCACGTCTTCCTGCACTGAAGAAGCCTTCCTATTAAGGTGCCGCGGACTTTTCAAACACTTTCTTTCATCCTCATCCATGGATAAACGGGGTTTTAAAGTCTTCCGAGCACTTCTCTTCTCTCTGATCTCTTCCTCAACATAGTATCTGTAAAGCGGCTCTTCCTGTTCATCATCTAGGTCGTCATTGTCAGAAGACTCATTGCAGTCTTTATCCGTCACCTTAATAATATTAAAATCCTTCAGCTCATCTGCAGGATTGTCCTCTGGTTCCATCTTGATGATAATCCTCTTCCTCTCAGAGGCTCTACCTCCTTCTTCACCCGATGTCTCAGAGGCAACTGTGCTGCTTTTTCTGCTTGTGATGTTTGACACAGGAGACGAAGAATCGTCCGCAGCTTGGCCAGAGTCCCCCTTGTATTTCTCTGTTTGTGTGGAGATTATTTTAGTAGTAGAGTCCTTTTCATTAAAGTCTATTTTTTCAGCACTGTAGTACCTGGCACTTTGGTAGGAATGCCTGTTAGTGCACGTTAACACGTGCTCATCCAGTAGCTTTTCACAGCTAAAACTAAACCCGCAGCTGTCGCAGGTGAAGCTTCTTCCAAAACGGCGCGAGTGGGACACGCGCTCTTTTGTGTGAGAGAATTTGGACGTGGTGCTTTTTTTGCAGACATCAAACAGTTGTTCGGGGAAGCTGCTTAGCTGCAAAGCTTCTTCATCAGGCTCTTTGTTATGGGATGTATTTACTGTTGAACTTGGCGGCTCCATGCCCCACCTGTTTGCTTCGCTGCCATTTCTAGCAAGTGTGTCTTCATACATTCTCACGCCAAATATCATTTTGCTATTCTGGGTGCTAGAAGCAGAAGATGAACATTTTAAACTAGATGAGTCTGTATCCTGTATATCTTCTAGACATTCAGGTACGTTATATAGCTGTAAATAGTTCATGGCTACTTTAAATTGCTCAAAATTGGCAGGGGCTGTCATAATTTTTCCTAAATACATGAACTGTAAAATAAGATCAAAGCATTCAGCACTAATCTTCATGTTGCTTAGATTCAGCTGGGCTGTAGTGTGTTGATGGTTCATAAAAAACATCCTAAAATAGGAGCTGCACGCAGCAAGGACTGCTTTATGTGCTTGAAAATAAATATCATCGATAGCGATACAGCAGTCGCACAGAAAGCCCCACTCTCTTTGGTTGTTTAGCTGCTGAAGGACATAGTTGCTGTGGCTGGTTCTTGCCATCTTGTACTTCAATTATAGCCCTGCATAAAGAAGAAGACATCTGTTAAACTGCAAGCACAAAAAGCAAAACCTGCTTAAACACAGGGAGGAACGGCAATCTTTTTCCTCTTTAGATCTTCCTATTCTCACGCTGTTTGTGGTACAGCTTCCTGTCTGGAGGTCTTTGCTGGTAACTGCTTAGAAATACTGATGCCAGTGAAAACATCCATAATTCCACGTTCTCACCACTAGACTTACAAGACTAGTAAACTAATAAACATAACCACCACACATGTCAATCAGAGCAATGCTGCTAGAATGTAAATTAGCAAATATATCTTAAAGTCCTACAAGCCAAGATTTTCAGATATAAATTCTGGATGCAGAACTTCAAAAACTTCACAGGGTAGACTTCTGTAAGATGGCCCCAGGACAACACCTATAGAAGGTAAGCTGACTGTAAGAAAACACTCTTCAGTCTCAACTTGCCTTTCTCACCTGTCAGTCCAACAGACGTATGATGCAACACATACTGGAAAGCAGGCCAGGGTCAAACTGGTCTTTCCCTCCTCATTAAAGGAAACTCATAAGATACAGCAGTGGAGCATCCACACAGGCTGCATCTACACACTTTTTGCTCTTCAGGGCAGCTCAGGGACAGTCTCAACCTTATCTGCAAGGCATCTTGCAAACAAGGAACTGCAAACTCAAAACGCCTTCTCAGCAGCCCAGGGCAGCCCGGCTGCGATGGCGCGTCCCACGTACGAGCCCGCTGCAGCCGGTGACCAGGCCGCTGCGCCACAGCCGCGCGGACTGCAGCAAGGCAGGAAGCGGTGCACGCCGTGCCTCCAACTGCTCGCAAAACCACGCGTTCACAGCACGGTAATATCACCAAAACATGTAGACGGGAGACCAGACAAAGTAAAACTCAGCAATGGAGAACTGAGAAGGACAGCAAGCCAGAGGTGGAGCCACAGTGAACTGAGGCCGTGACAAAGACAGGTCTGTGAGTGATGAGGATTGCTGTGAGTGAAAGGACTAATTTGTCCTCAAGAGAAAAGAGGAAGAAAACATAGTAGTTTATGTTAACAAAAAAATCCAGAAGAAATGTATAGCACACAGGAGGTGTGCATTTGATTTACAGAAGATAAACTTAACCAAGTATGGCCAGATCCAACAGCTAGTCACTACTCACTTTGGAAAATCTTTACTGATACACATGGTCTGTGCTAACTGCACAGGGAGGGGAGTGAGAAACCAAAAGAAGGTACAAAGAACGCCCTAACCGAAATGAAAAACCTCAAGCAATAATGAGCATTCTTAACATTTTGAAAGGTTACCTCAAACAATGCAAATAAGAGATTTGTATAAAGTACATGCTAGCAAACAACATATATTATATGACATCACTCAGTTAAATACACTGATTGGTTTACAACCATTATTTCAACTGTTCAAAATTTAAACAAAATTCACAAAAAAAGTTCCCTGTTTCTTCTTATTCTCCTGACAGCTTACATCTCCTAGAGGCTGGAAAGAGGCAGAGAAATTAAATTCCACAATTAGTGTTGAACTTACAAGTTGTAGGTGTTGCCTGGCTTGTTAAGTAGCAAATCTAACGTTAAGTCACCATTCTTCATTCCACGAAGGACTGCCATGGAAAGAAGAACCATGTTCAAGCTCTTAAGAGGAAAACACACTCACTGAGCCCAGCAATATTGCCTATTGCCAATTCATATAGCAGTACATATGGATCACCACCAGCACAAGACCTTGTCCAGCAACAGGAACAGGATTTGGGTTGAACTACACTGACAATGAGCATCTGAACGGCAGCTGTTCCTCTCCCTCTCAACCCAGTCCTCCAAACTCAAAACTCAAGATGAGCAGCATCCTGCCATAATAATCCTCTGACCACTCTGGCCCAGTGATGTCCACTGCAGAAATACAACTTGTGGCATGGAATTAATTTAATGGCTTTCTTAGTAACTCACAAAAGGGTGGCTCTGAAAGTAGGAGAGTCTCTGAAACAAATTCATGTCTTTTCTGCAGAAGATTGATTATTGTCTGTCACTGGGTGAATTCAGATGTTTCTGTGAAAAACAGCAGAGCTCTCAACATCAACTAATAATAAAAAGGCACTTCATATTCTTCCAAGTGCTAACATGTTTTGGATTTGAGGTAATTTATTAGATACTTGAATATAATTCAGTATACTGTATCAAGTATTAAGAACAGCAGCTGCATAATGACAAAGACTTGACTTCAACTTTCACATTCTAAGAGTGAAAATGAACAACAAAGTGAGAAGATGCAGTCTCGGGCACCACTGGCCTCTTGGTGTGAACTGCCAACAAGTCAAGAAAAGGCTGAAGACAGCTGGTCTTAATCTCATCCTCATAAAGTGGCAAGTTTTTATTTTTTCATTTAAAAACTTTTGTACACTAGAAGTACTCCATCGTATCTTCCAACAGCAGAAGAGCAGTACAAACAGCAAGCCTGTACTGAAAAACAAAGTCACAAACTATATGAATGCACCTGCAGACGGGGGCATTTCCACACAGTGGGAATGATCTGGCAGCCACTGGAGCGACAGCATACAAACTCATCATTTCTAGGTTTCCTTCTTCTTGGAAAGAAGGGAAATATATTTCCCCTTTCGACAGGACAACTCTCGCAGAGCTTTCAGCACTGTCCTGATCCACAACAACGATGCACTGGCAATGCCCACCTCCTCCTACCACCACTCTGGAAAAAAACAGCCCAAGCACAAGGTCACTTGACCTGGATGGCAAGGTGCTCAGATACATACCTGGCCTCTATCATGGCAGTACTACGCACAGGTATTAAATAGAGAGTGTTTGAAGTTATTTATGTTAATGAAAGTACTGGCATCCTCCTCTGGATGCTGTATTAACCTGCTGTATGTAACTATATATTTACAGCTGCCAACACTTCCCACTATGTGTTGGGCTATTTAAAACTGACACATTTCAACCAGTAAAGGCAAAACGTTCCTTCTCAATTGTCTGCTTTGGACTGCTCTAATTTTTTCCCCTCCACAGAAAATTTCAGCCAAGACGCTTCCAAAAATAAGGCTAAGAAAAAGCTTTCATATATGTAGATTACTACTTTTTCTTTTAAAAATAAAACTTTCTCTTCCAAAATCTTTGAAGAGAGACTTCATATGGGAGAAGTGCTATGTCTTGGATATGTTGTCATGATATACAAATCTGCCTGAATTTGGCCAAGCTATAAGCTTAAGGGGGAGAAGATAAAAATTATCAGTTTGTTCACACTTAAGACTTTTGTGAGTTACTAAAATCTCAGATTACAGCCTCGCTGAGAACAATTCATCCTCCTGCAGCTCCTTTGTATGTAAGGGCCTGCCTGCGCCATCCCACCTGGCATGTAAGCCCCCTCCTGTGCAGAGCTCTGCCACATTTTTAAACTCCAAGATATAAGGCAGAAATTTTTTACAATGAGGATGGTGAAACACTGGCACAACTTGCGCAGAGAGGCGGGAGATGCCCCACCCCTGGAAACGTTCAAGTTCAGGTTGGACAAGGCTCTGAGCAACCCGATCTGGTTGAAGATGTCCCTGCTTGTTGCAGGGGTTTGGACTAGATGGCCTTGAAAGGCCCCTTCCAACCTAAACCATTCTGTGATTTGATGTGCCACCTCCATAGAGTCACAAACTGGCAGCAGGGCTCGCTGGAGACTGATCCCCATCACGACTTGCTGCTAGGTTTTAGCATCCTTCCTGGCTGCTGGATGGAAAAGACGCCTGGTTCTGGCTGATGAGAGCCAGACCCAGGAGCAGACTTAGTGAAAGCGCAGGCAGATTGGGAACTGTAAGGGAGTGAAAACCTCTGGAAATCAGGAGGGCAGGGAGAGGCAGTCTGAGAGTGGAGTGATGAGCCAAGAAGAGGGGACTGGGATTAGGAAACAGCAGTGGGAATTAAAAATGGGTGCAATGAAGGTCTAAATGGTGGAGGGAAGATGCTTGGGCAAGGGGCTAAGATGAGCTCTAGGAAGAGGCTAGGGCAGAAGGGGTGAAAACCAGACATGCTTTTGCTGGGGAATGGGTGGAAAACAATTACAGCATTTACCCCATCAGAGCTGGAAGTGAACCCCAAATTCCCAATTCTGCCATCCCTTTTCCATCAGCAAATATCACAGGCTTGCTGACAAACTCCTTCCCATCCCAAAATGATCATTTACCATTGTTTTGTTACTTTAATTGCTAAAATGGCAAAGATCTGCATTCATCACCCATGTGGGTGGTTCAATGCTGCAAACTATTTTTGAAGTTTGCTTTGGAAAAAAAAGCAGGCATTAGAATAAAAACAGGTCCTTTTTACAGAAAACCCAGCGTTTCAAAGTTAAGTGTATACACAAGAAACGCCATAATTAACGCAGGATTAATTCAGCTACCATTTATGTATATATTGTAGTAGTCCTCCAGCCCTCCTCGTACCAAAGGCTCTCTTCCTTACTCAGCGCATCCTCCAGATCTGTCCAGGGATGGATCTGAGCAGCAACAACACAAGATACCTGCTCATTCGACACAGCAGTTAGAAGATGTGAATGAAACCAGGGGTACAAGAAGGAGAATCTCACAGCAATCTCGCTGCCGTGGAGAACAGCATCCCATCACCATCAGTCATTTCATCGGTCATTTCAACCTGCTTTTTTTTTTTTTTTCATATGTCCAGTTTTTTCACAGCGGGAAACACAACCAACACCAGCTGAAGCCAATGGGAGCTATCCTCTGCCTGCATTAATTATCTTGGGAAATTAAAACTCTATGCATGCAAGTTTGACAATCCAAAATTTTTAAGTGTTTCTGATCCTCTCCGACTCTTTCCTGTTTCAAAAAGAGGAGAAATAACAGCCACTTGCCCGAATGACTAGCACACCACCTTTGCAAAGCACCCAAATACTATAGTCACAAATGTCACAGGGAAGTCAATGAGGAACCCAAGCAACTCTGACTTCAGCAATGATCAATCTGTGCAGTAAACACAGCAACAGGCCATGACATAAACAACACTGAACAATGCGGAGGCATTCTGAAAAAATATGCTAGAAAAGCATCTGATACGAAAGTGAAGATATTTGAGTCAGTAATTTCACTCTGATTTTCAAACTCAATGTCTCCATATGCATTTTATGTTCCTAGTAAATGGTTATTTTTACACTGCCATGCTTTGATTCAAGCTGTTTGTCTGCCATCAGATTTTTTCTTTTCTTTTGAGTAACTGCTCACGTACTATTACTATTCAGTCATTACCATGAAAGGTAAGCTGCACTATTACATGAACCAAATACGTTGTTTATAACTCTAACAAGATTTACTATAGCGCCATGCTTTTTGTCATTTCCTCAGATTCAAAATTTTCGGAGATGTTTTAAAACTAAAGAAGTAAAAATAGTCCTCAAGCAAAGAACTGGTAAAGTTCTTTTTCTAACTTCTCTGTCTTTAAAAAAGACGTACCACAAGGTTCAGAATTTAGGAGCCTTTCGGCTCCTAAAATTAGTAGGTGGTTTTCAAAACCCAGCATTTCCACTGCTGAGCAGGCAAAAACAGAGTGCTTACATGCTTAGTTACTGGCTGCTTTTCTTTGGAAACCAAGAGCAGGCTGGACAAAAGTACAATAAATGAGTGGAGAATTTGGTGCTAATAGAAAATGAGACTGGAAAACCTCAGGAAAACAACACCCAGTTGTCCAAAGAAACAAGCAGGTGGGCAGCAGAAAGCAAATTCCCCATCATAGTCTGACACCATGTCCCACCCTGGCAGAAGGTCCCAAGAACTCTCCTCCCTAAAGGGTTATTTTGCCTCTGTGGGTCAATTCCACCAAAGAATCCGTATTCCTCAAAAACAGCACCTAAATGCTCAGAAGAAAATCCTACGTGACATGTCTAAGTTCTATGCATGATGCCCGAGAAGCTTAGGCATTCAGCTAGTGCATTAACCATACAGCTTTTATCTAGACACACTGAAGAGGAAGCCACTGAGATTGCTCTGGTACTGTCAAGTCCAAGAAGGTGCCTCAGTTTATACAATCGCTGCGAAAAGCAAAGAACTTGGGGCCAGGTGACCACCATCCACCTCAACAGCAGATAGGGATACAATGCAGTTTGCATGGCAAGCATAGTCTTGATCAGGAATTAAAACAATTATGGGAATTCCATGTACTGCCAGGGAAAATCTAATTAAGCTGCATTATTCTGGCTACAAAGGACTGAAGATAGAATTTACCATCCTCCTATGGCCCTTCCAGTCAGCTACCTTCAGGAGTGCTAGTTGTGAAGCCATTTCCAATGGTGTCGATACCCATCTCCAGACATGTCCTGATGGCTGAATCAACTCATTTTAAACAGACTTGTGGACATCGTATAGAAACAAGTTTCAGCTGACACTTGGGCTAGATCTGAACCGCGGAAAGGTAAGATGCCCCAAAGCCCCCAGCGACACTGTCGAAGCCACTCGATCCCCCCCCTCAGCAGGCGGTTCTCCGCTGATTCAGCATCCATGTCCGCAAATGAGAAACAGCCATCACATCACAATTTAGCACATTAAAATTCTCAGCTGCTAACTGAGAATTAGTTAAGATTTATTACGTGCTCTTAGGTAAGAACACTCCTTGAAAGACAAGGAATAAGGTGTCAGAAAAGCAGGAGTCAATAAATTAAGAAAATGGAGTTTGCACTAATGCCCCATCTGAACTTCAAAGAACTTTAGATCAGATCTATGGAGTAAAAGTACTAGAGAGAAAGCTTTTAAAGTAACTTGCTAGCCACAAAGGATTATTCTAGAAAGTCACAGTTGTCTTTTATCTGACACCTTTAAAGTTGTAAAAAGTTGTCAGGCGACATGGCAGTGATACGTTTAAAAGAAACAATTAGTGTGGAAAAAAATTATGACATCCCATTTATGCCTTGTAGCAGAAAGATGGGCCTTTTTTATCTAGGCTCTCTGAGTTATCCTAACTTTCAAGAGACATCTTGGTGGTTTAACCATCTCCTGAGACCCTCGAATGAAGACATGTGTGCCTTCCAGGAAAGCATCCCTGGCTGAATACAAGTCGGACTTTGGCTAAGAACTTGCTGGATGCACATGAAACACAGTAACTTGTGACACACAGGTCAGACTATAGATTTTGTTGACTGACTCTGGTCTTAAATGCTTCACATTTTACTTGCAGCACGTTAAAAAAAAAAAAAGCCACTAAGGTCTCCATCCAATGAAACAGATTTAATACGGGGAAAAAAGGCAACAGCCAGCTAATTCTAGAGAGTTTTGCAATGGCACAACATGCACAAAGAGAAAATTACCAGACTAATTGGAGGATATAAATGATCTTCATGCAAATTATGTCAGCTGTTGTGCCCACACGCCATGTCCGCAGCAGAACTCTTTGGGTGACGGTGTTTACCGTGCCCCAGCAGATGCAGGGCAGGATAACCCAGCCACTGGGCAACCACCGGTCAGACTGAAAAATGCACATGGGGCTTCTCACGCTACATGCATGTGAGGTCCGGAAGGACTCCAGTGAGAAGTCCAGCTGTAACAACTAAAAGAAAGGACACTAGGAGTTTATCAGGAAACTTTCATTCTCTCAATTCTGAGCAGCGGTTTTGTTTCCATACAGCAGACAAGTAACTACTAAGGCTTTGTCTATTCCGGACTTTCAGGGCTCTCCACCGTCAGCAACAATGGAAATCTGTGAAAGAAGCAATTACCCTTACACATTCAAGTAAGAAAGCTTCTAAAACACGAAATCACTGGTTGATATGAGCACTCCCAACGTAATTGCTGCAAATTCCTGTGCCAGTGACAACACCACGTGAAGAAAAGACTTTTGCAAGCAGAGCTGAAGCATCTGTTAAGTCTGTGATCTTATTCCACCCAAAACTTTCCGGCTACCAGGAAGAAGGGGCTTCTATTACTTCTCCAAGCTTCCCACGCAGCACCAACCCACGTCTTCATTACCTACATCCTCCTAAAGCCACCCCCCTCCATGCAACACCCCCCACCCCCCCGGCCGGGTGCCTGCCGGTTCCCTGATACCTCAAAGAGCAGCAGAGTGCAACTAACGCCACTTGTTAGTCCTCGGGTTTTCTGGCCAGTCACCCAAAAATCTCTCCACAAGCTTGTCAACTCGCTCTGCTGCTGCCTAGGAAAATCTCTGCCAGAGCTCCAACCGTTCACGTTTGGCCGGTTTTCCCCACGGCCATATGGCCTCAATGCCTCTCCCCCGCTCGCCATGAAAGCTTAAGTTGTAATTCGGTAAAAATGAGAAGCCTGCATCCCCCCCTGCTCACGGCTGCTGTGTGGGTTTTTCCAAGAGCTGTAATGAGGAATGTTAAACAAACACCTTTAATTAAAGGAATGTTTGTTTAATGTAATTAAATGCCTGAGGAACACCACGCTGTTGCAGCCCCAGACAGTTCTGCAGCATGAGCTGTACCTTGCGATACTCCAGCGCAAGGGAACTAATCAAGCAAATGACATAATCTGCCAGTAAATACCCAAATATTAAACAGCATCCAACCCATGCTATCCGTTTACCAATGCCTACGTGTCACGAGGAACCGGCACCACTCTGTCAGCCGACAGACAGGCCAAACTTGAGAACGAGAGTTACAAAAAATCCTAAAAACCAGAGAGGAATAAAACCCCCGCCCCAAACCCACAGCGTTTTCAGTCCCCTTTCCTCTACTCTTTTTACTACCTTTCTGTCCGAGAAGAAAAGAGTCCTTTGAGGAACGAGACTTTCGACACCGCTCCCAGAGCAACACAGGGCTTGTTTTTATGTGACAAAACTATTCCCTTTCCTTTCCAGCCGCCTCCAAGGCGATCCTGTGCGCTGCCAGCCCCGAGTGAAACCCAAGTCTCCCGCCTGGCAGGGTGGAGCATTCCCTCCAGGCTGCAGCTCGGTTCTTCGCTGAACTATGCAACTCGCTCGAAGTTTTGGGGCTTGTTGTTTGGAAAGAAAAGCAAAAAGAAAGAGGAGGCAGCGCTGGGCTCCGCCGGCCTGCTGGCGGGGGACGGGGCTAGGCGGCGGTAACGGCACTCGAGACGTTTAACGTGACTTCGAGCCCCGCAGTAAGGAGGGCAGCGCCGTGCCCTTCCCCGGCTCCCGCCTCTGCTCCCGCCTAGGCCGCTGCTCCTGCTCCGCGCCGGCGCCCCGCCGCAGCATCCCCCGCTCCCGCAGGGCCCCGCCGCCGCGCCCGCCCCGCAGGTGGAGCG